TTTCATTAATCTGTGATTCCGACTAAAAAGTATAATCAATATTCTTTAAATGTTAAGTTTTATTGCGTAAGAAATAAATTATACAAAAAAGTATTGACGAATTAACTATAGTAGTTCTATAAATATAGTAACTATTTAAGAAAACTTTTAGTATGTTTTATGTACAAAAATACGGAGCTCAATAATTTATCGTGTTTTTACCACCATGAATTATAAGGAACATTCGATAAAACGTACTACAAATAAGATTTTTTACATAAAGGCAGTACCTGAAGAGATTACGCAAGGTTAGTATATTTATAAAATGCTTGAAAATCAGATTTTATATTCCAGTTTAATTGACGTTAATTCATCAATTTTCTTTTATATAATTTACTGTTTACGCACTACAAATTAGTATTTAAAGTATGCTGACTACTTTTTCTACCAAAAGTCCATATCATTGAGAATATAAAGGGTTGGTAAATGTATGCAACGCACTGTACATATTTTAAAAATAACGCGCTCGTGTTAGACGAGATTTCTCCGGCTGATTCTCCGCGAACGATGAACGGTCTTCAGGGTAAAAGCAAAGCGTTTCCGCGTTGCGAGCTTCTCCACGGCAGATGCGTGCGAAAGGAACAACCGAATGCGAAAGTTCGCGTTTTATGACCGTGGCATTACGCCGTGGGTTTGAAACGCTAACGATCGAAACGTTTTCCCGCTTAAACGATCATGATTCGACGAGTTTCGTAATCGTAGGGTGAAACGCTCCAACTTTCTTTCTAGTCTCAAAGAATCCCCGACGAAAGTCGAATCGATTTACTATTACGTTCCAATCGAGTCAATTGAAATTTTTCCTTTATAACTAGACCACGGATGTTTATTACGTTATTATTAAAATTAATAATAATTTAAAATTAGTTATAATTTATTATAAGTTATTATTAAAGGTGTTTTGAAGTTTGCAAGGAAACATGTGAATCATAGACCATAGATCTAAATTACATGATGTATGTACACTTTGCGATATATCTTAAATTCATAAACATTTACAGTTTTCTAATAAGATTCTTGATATGTCGAAACTGTACAGATAATTACTTAAGTATATCTTCATCTCTTTAAACTTCGTAATGTCATTAATTTTATATTCTAAGTAATATTCGAATACAATTTTCAACCTAACTCTATAAATATAGTAACTATTTAAGAAAACTTTTAGTATGTTTTATGTACAAAAATACGGAGCTCAATAATTTATCGTGTTTTTACCACCATGAATTATAAGGAACATTCGATAAAACGTACTACAAATAAGATTTTTTACATAAAGGCAGTACCTGAAGAGATTACGCAAGGTTAGTATATTTATAAAATGCTTGAAAATCAGATTTTATATTCCAGTTTAATTGACGTTAATTCATCAATTTTCTTTTATATAATTTACTGTTTACGCACTACAAATTAGTATTTAAAGTATGCTGACTACTTTTTCTACCAAAAGTCCATATCATTGAGAATATAAAGGGTTGGTAAATGTATGCAACGCACTGTACATATTTTAAAAATAACGCGCTCGTGTTAGACGAGATTTCTCCGGCTGATTCTCCGCGAACGATGAACGGTCTTCAGGGTAAAAGCAAAGCGTTTCCGCGTTGCGAGCTTCTCCACGGCAGATGCGTGCGAAAGGAACAACCGAATGCGAAAGTTCGCGTTTTATGACCGTGGCATTACGCCGTGGGTTTGAAACGCTAACGATCGAAACGTTTTCCCGCTTAAACGATCATGATTCGACGAGTTTCGTAATCGTAGGGTGAAACGCTCCAACTTTCTTTCTAGTCTCAAAGAATCCCCGACGAAAGTCGAATCGATTTACTATTACGTTCCAATCGAGTCAATTGAAATTTTTCCTTTATAACTAGACCACGGATGTTTATTACGTTATTATTAAAATTAATAATAATTTAAAATTAGTTATAATTTATTATAAGTTATTATTAAAGGTGTTTTGAAGTTTGCAAGGAAACATGTGAATCATAGACCATAGATCTAAATTACATGATGTATGTACACTTTGCGATATATCTTAAATTCATAAACATTTACAGTTTTCTAATAAGATTCTTGATATGTCGAAACTGTACAGATAATTACTTAAGTATATCTTCATCTCTTTAAACTTCGTAATGTCATTAATTTTATATTCTAAGTAATATTCGAATACAATTTTCAACCTAACTTAACACTAGATTGCCTAAGGCAGTCATTTTGACTGCTTTTCAATTTCAATTAGAAAAACAATTGTGTATAGAATGATACAGCTTCTTAGAATTTTGTGACTTTTTGTACAACATATAAATGTGTTTATTAATAATTGGAGTTACCTCCCCCCTCTTTCATTTCCGGTATATATATATATGTGTTATACCTATATTGCCCCAAAGCAGTCAAAATGAATCAAAGTTTCAGTCTTTCTAGTGTTAATTACATAATTATTACCTCTTCAAGGATATATAGATGTTTCAAATAAAAATACCAATTCATCCATATCATTCAATAATCTATCGATGCCTCAAATACTATCATTAGCAGATAACTTTCTGCACCCCAGCGCTTAATCGTGAAATAATAAATCGAACATTAAATCTTGATTTCCAACGGAAATATTTATTGCTCTAATTATACACAAGCAATTATCCAACCCACTTTCCCTTTCAGAGAGATCCACATAATGATTCACTCAAGATCACTGCCATCAAAAAAAGAGAAAAAACAGTCATGAAAAAATTTTCTAGCAATTAGTCGATACGTGATAAAGCTTCGGAAATAAAATCGAAACAGCTCGAATTCGTTTAATTATACAATTAAATCGTCTAACGAAACCACTTAACAGGCATATTGCAGTCAGTAGACAACAGAACGCTTCTTATTTCTTCATGGTTGTAGATAATGTTGCACTTTCTGCAGCATCTACTTCTTTGTTTTCGGTCGTCTTTGTCTTCGAGCAATCTATCGACGATTCTTTCGATCCTTGAATTATACCGATCGACCGGCAGCGTGCTTATTAACCTCTTTAATCGTCGATCATTCATTAAGTATCGACGAGACGTGTTATTCTTCTTTAATAAGTCCCCGTAACGGATGCTCTTCTTATAAAAGGCATCTCCATTTTTCGTTTTTGTTAAGGGAGACAATCTCCGTTGTGAGAGACGTTTAACAGTACAGTCAACGCTCAGATGATGGAAATGTTCCAGTTTTTCGAGCATGTTTGAAGAAGTTTGAGATATTGGTAGAAAATTATTTTTATAATTTTTACATTTTGGAATTTTGGAATCTAGGAGTTTTGATATTCTGAGGATTTGGAATTTTGAAGTTCCGAACTTTTGGAATTTGAGAATTTGGAAATATATAAATTTGAAATTCACCAATTTGGAAATTTAGGAACTTGTAATTTACAACTTTGATTATTCAGGAATTTGGAAATAACAAATTTTGGGAGTTGGAAATTTACAAATTTCTGAATTCACAAATGTGGGAATTTAGGATTCTGACAATTAGGAATTCAGGCATTTTGGAATTTTAACAATTGAACATCCTAGAAATTTCGGAATATGGAAATTCGAAAGTTTAAGAATTTGAGAATTTAAGAATTTAAAAATTTGGAAAAATTAGAATTTGTTAATTTAGGAAGATAGGAAATTAAAAATTTATAAATGTAGGTTTTTGGAAATTTAGGAGAAATTAAAATTTTACGTGGATTTAAGACTTTATGAATTTAGATATTTTGGAACTCAGAAGATTTGGAATTTCGAAATTTAGGATTTTAGAAATAAAAAAGTCTCGGACCTTTGAAATTTGAGAATTTTAAACATTAGAGAATCTCAAAACTTGGGAGTTTAAAAATTTTTTAATTCATAACTTTAAAAATTTTGTAACTCAGTAATTTAGAAATTTGTAAGTTCAGAACATTGTGAAATCAAAAAATTTAAGGATTGTTATGACTTTGAGGCTTAGAAGTTTTTAACAACCACAATTTTAAAATTTTAAAATGGCAGTTATTTAATCATACCTATAGAAAATTCATATTTCTATTTTAAACAGTATTTTAAGAATTTTTGACCATTTATTTTCATGAAAAACGTTTACTTTGAAAGCATTACAAGTGCGATTATATAGTCGTTTATAACGACCAAATAGGATTATCAACTCAATATTGATGTTGCAGTACTCCTTAGAGTTTAAAGCGACAAGAATTTAGAGCAATCCGGTTTTAGACGACGTTCACTGCTCCACGGTTGGTTACAGACTGAGGACAACGCACCTAATCGACTTTGTTTATTTCCGAGTAAGGTTGTTACACCTGCACTAAGTTTCTTATAAAGACATTTCCTTACGTACTTTCACCTTATAACTTTTTATCTTTCAAACATGCTGTATAGGAAACGTATATGTACATTGAAAAATAATTGCAACTTTTAATAGAGTAATATATAGAAACAAAACTTAAACAACAATATAGTTTTCCCAAAACATTCATATATTATGTTATACCATATATGTATATACTAATATGAAATAATAAAAATTAAATCTTTAAAATATCCCACAATTATTATATTTCATTTAAAAAATCAATTGATACTTTGTTAATATATTTCGATTCTAAGTCAGTTTTAATTGTCTTGTTATTGATGGATAATATCAAAAACGTCATGTTTATTGACAAAAAATATAATAAAATAAGGAGCGACGACTGACACAAATATTAGCTACATAAGTGTAGCTAATAACGCAAGTTAGCAACATTAAAATAATTATCCCTCAAATCCAAATAATTGCATAACTAGAGTCTCTTTTATATCCTAAACAAATAGCAATTATTATAAAAAAAGATTTTATCAGTATAATTTTTCTTCTCACCGTTTATGAAAATACAATTAGTCAAGTCTTAATTAAAAGTTACTACCATCTCTAAAAACCGCGTGCTAAATCTGCAAATAATCTGAAGATGTACTCACCACGGCACTTCCTCTTTCTCGTTTCCGCCTCAACGGACCATCCAACTCGCATCAAGAAGCCACGATGTATAACTATGTTCTCACTTTCTGCACAACACACGATCCACACAATGTCCGTTTCAGCGGGCCGTCCTAACGAGCCGATAAAGACGCGGGATTAATCAAGCAGAACCCGTCTGTTATCGTCCCCGGCGAGGAACTGTATCATCCCGTTCGTCTGTTAGCTGGCGAAGCCCCCGACGACAACGCTACGCGTTAAATCGTGCAGAAATCCAGGTTGTACGTGCACCGACCTGAAGCCACAGAAACTGCGTCCCTGACCCGCTCAACCTGTGGCCTCGATGAATCACGCGACCAGCACCAGCCACCAGCAGCACCACCGCCAGATATTCTGGAAGACAATCGACGAAAGTTCTCAGCCGGATGGACAGGCACACGGTGCAGCATCACCGATGCGGAACACCTTTGTTTAATGTCTTTACTTACACCGTATCATTCGAAGAAATATGCGTCACATGATTATACTTGAATTTTCATCGATTTGAATTTGTTATTTTGGTGGTTAGAGAGTTCAGAGCGGGAGTTGGATTTTGTGGGTAGATACAGTTTGGGTATTTGGGGATTTAGGAACTTAGATGCTTGCGAATTGGGAAATTTTAGAAATTAATTGGAGAATTTAGGACTATGGGAGTTTAAGAACTTGGGAACTTGGAAATTCAAGAATTTAGGAATTTAGGACACTGGGAATTTGAAAACTTAAAAATTTGAGATTTTGGAAATATAGGAATTTTGAAATTAAAGCACGTAGGTATTTAATAAATAATTAATTTAGAAATGTAGAAATTTAGGAATTTAGGAATTTAGGAATTTAGGAATTTAGGAATGTAGGAATGTAGGAATTCAGGAATTTACGAATTTACGAATTTACGAAACTAAGGATTTCTGGAATTCAGGAATTCATGAGGGGGCCTCAGGAACTAAGGAATTCAGGAATTCAGACATTCAGGAATTTAGGAATTTTGGAATGTAGGAATTCTGGAATCTAGGAATTTAGGAATTTAGGAATTTAGAAATTTAGGAATTTAGAAATTTAGGAATTTAGGAATTTAGGAATTTAGGAATTTAAAAATTTAGGAATTTAGGAATTTAGGAATCTAGGAATTTCTAAACTTTGGAACTTAGAAGTTCGGAAATTAAAGAATTCAAATATTTGATAATTTAGGAATTTAAAAATTCGAAAATTTTGGAAATTAAGAGCTTAGGAGTGTACAAACTTTGAAATTTAGAAATTTCGGAGTTTACGAATGTAAGGATTGAGAAACTTGGAATTTAGGAATTTGAAAGTTTGGAATTTGACAATTTAAGAATTTCGGAATTTTCAAAAATTAAATATTTGTAAATTTACAAGTTTAGGAATTATAGAATTTGTAAATGTAGGAAGTTGGTAATTTTTAAATTCAGAAATTTGGGAATTCTGAAATTTAGTAGATGTTTCTTGCTAATGGAGTTGTATATTCTGATATATGGATTGTGAACATACATTTGTAAGAATAAATTTGATATATTACTTTGCTGTTCTTCCTATAGACCAAACATTATATTGTGAATGAGTAGGTGAAATTGCTTTCTCCAATCGCAGTTGTGCATCTATAGATAAGAATTCGTGTTATTTTAAATGTAGCATAAGTTTTATTTGATATTTTAATATGTAGTCACTTTAACGGACAATATATTGTTGATGGCAAGATAAAATTGTGAAACTCTATACGTTATGTATATGTGTTATTATAATCATAATATAAACTCGATCTGGTGTTTTGATGAGGTAAAACTACTTCATTGCAGATATTTACTGATTATATATGCGAAATTGTAGATGAAATTATTCCTTGTAAAGTAGGTTATGAATTTTTATACAAAAATATGTCCCATGAATATGCTATAAATTCAATTTGTTACCTTAACAGTTTACTTCTTTAATAGAAGTTAGATACTATAGATAGATAAATAAAATTTCATTTTGTAAATGGTATTGTAAATAGATACGTAAAATTGATTTTTGTTTATCTTTATGCAGTAATTGTGCAATAAAATAAAGTTCAAATTGTGCATTGTAAATCTTTAGTTGTTATTAAAAAACAGCTGCAATTATATTTTATAAACTTTATGTGAACGCATTTTACACTATGACATATGCAAAATTTTAATTTGTTATTAATTAAAAATATAGTTAATTTGAGTAATGATTACTGTTACAGTACCATTAAAAATAATTAAGCTAATTTAATATTAATAACTTTGTAAATATCAAATTTGTAAACAGGTGTTAAATACTCCCTTATTGTTAAAATAATGTATATTAAGTAATTGTTACTAAAAAATTGTTTCTTGTAAGATGTATAGTCCTTTAAATAAATAATATCATTCTGAAGTTTGATTCACTTAATTAAGAATTTAAGAAAGTGATTCATATCATGAATGTTTTCCTAATCTAATCAGATCTCAATCTTATTTTAATTGCTTTATGAATGAATCATTAGAGATTAAAATTGCATTAACTGCTATTAAATCAAGTTAATAATTTCACCAATAAAATACGCAATACATTCTATACAGAACGGTTTACGAATCAAATCTATAATGAAGTATAATACATACCTTGATCTTCTAACGAAAACTCGGGTTCTATCTACTTTCAATGCAGAAGAACTTTGTCCCAGAAAACAATCACTTCTACTATCTTTTCACACAAATTCTTCGGTACACTTAATCTATTCAAAGATTTCAGCACCTCCGACTACAATTAACCTTGATCTCTCCCTCTACTCAACAAATATAATTCTTGCACTATAACAATTATTGCACTAAATTTTTGTTGATGATTCACCAAGATGCAATTATTTCACTCAACACTCTTAATCACTGCTACCGATTAATCGTTAGACCACATACACCTTTAAATTCACCACCACAAATTTCCAAAGGTTCTTCAACGATGCACTTGATCCACACTGGTTCACGAATCGAATCACCACCAAGTGCTTCTTTAACGAGCAATCCTCTGGATTAACCGATCAAAAGGAGAAATTCTCGCACTCGAAGCGATGGGATCCTTGATCAGAGATCCAACTTCAAGTTCCCGGACGCCTGTCAGCTGGCGAGATAAGAGACCTCGAAGATATCGACGTAGTTCTGTCGAGACTCCGTAACCTGTTGATTCGTTCAACGACTCTCAACCATGCTGCCTTCAGAGACCAACGATTTTCATCGAAGTTCGCGTAATTTCTTCGGAACAAACGCTGTTACGTGACAGTTCGGTTCTATCGGTAATTTATTCGCGGTCGAGGAACGTTGAAAACCAGATTCGCGGTGAGAGTGTTACCGCGAAACGGGATTAGTCAATAGCTGTTCAAATTACACTTTCGAAGCTGTAGCTGCCGAAGCGGATTCGTCGAGGTCTCCAAACTTGGCCATCCAACCTCTCGATGTCCAAGTTGGAATCTGTCCCAGACTCTAGTTACAGAGATCTTCCTAGAAGCATCTAACTGCCTGGGGAACTCACTGGATCAAATCTACCTCGGTTTTGAAAGTTCAATTTATGACGACGGTGAACTTTCGGTTACTGTTTGGATTCTTTGTCAATAATCACTCACTTTTCATTGAAAAAATAGTATCCATAAACTGTGAAAAACTTCAAATTTTCGTGTCATATAGTTGTTTACAATTTTTGTAGAATATTTGTATACTTTGTTAATGATTAAATCCGTAACAATTGTAGAGAGTTATAATCTTCTGCAGATATTCTCCAAAACGATGGTTCACAATATCATATTTTGTAAATCAATTAAATTTGTTTAATAAACTATTCAGTTTATTTTTATAAATTCTCTAGTTCTATTTAAAACTAGTTTAAAGTCAGTTTTATCTGAAACTAGTTTAAAGTCAGTTTTATTTAAAACTAGTTTAAGATCAGTTTCATCTGAAATTAGGTTAAAATCAATTTTATTCAAAACTAGTTCATATAAATTTTGTTATTTTCGCTCTTCACGGTCCTTCAAATACCGAACTTCTCTGAGTACCTGTAGGTACCAAACTTTCCAAGACACTTGATGTAAGAACGTTAGATAGATATATGGATCGGCAGTTGATCATGCAGCATCCCCGGATACAAAGATCCCTTAATGGATCTCGATTAAAGCACTGATTCACGATGAAGATTGATTACTCGCGAGCGCGCGAGCGGCGCGTATTCGAACATGCTTCCGGCAAGTTTGATCAATCCAGGCCCGCGAAATCTGGCTCGATCGGTAAAGATGCCCGTGGGGGAGTTACGTGAGTGACCGGAAGCGGCCGCTACCAAAATGGCGGAAGGATGTCAAGTTCGGTCGTCGGATCTCGCGAATTCCGAAAAAGCGTAAGGATGAAAAACGTGTCGAAGGATGAAACGAGCGCACAGCGCAGGTAAGAGAGGTTTTCGAGCAACTACGAGCCGGTCAGAAGGCGGCGTGTCTTTCTCCCCTGCATCGTGCATCAGCCTCGTGGAGAGAGGGAAATGGCGAAACGATGGTAGGAGGCATACTGCAAAAACCGGCGAGAGGGGAGCAGGTGAACGCCGATAGATTCGCGATCCTTGGGAATCGAGATCGGGATACTTACATTCAAGAACTCGATACGACTTGCGAGCTTAAATGCGGAGGAGAGGTTGAGATGATGATGCCGATGGCTGAGTAGGAAGAATATTATTCGTTAGGGTAGGAAGTCTTCGGAAGAAGAATGATAAACAATTAATCAACTCATCTTTATGTATAATGAGGATCGGCGAGTGAGAGACACTGGTAGGTATAAGTGTAAATGTGTACTGGTTGGCATTAATGGAATATGAGCTGTTTTTATATGAAATTTGAGAATATTTTATTGCGGCAATTTGAAATTTGTAAATTTATTAGGTTTGCAAAGTTGCAGATTTTCCAGTTTCATAACTGGGAATTTCTTAGTTTCTGAATTTTTAAGTTATCGAGTTTAAAAATTTATAAATTCTTTGATCTCTCAATTTATTAATTATGCCGTCCCCAAATTTCAGTTTTTCAATTTACTAATTTACTGATATCCTAATATCCTAATACTCTAATTTCGTAATTTCTTAATTTTTTAATTTCTTAATTTCTTAATTTCCTAATTTCCTAATTTCCTAATCTCCTAATATCCTAATGTTATAATACTATAACTTATCAATTCTTTATTTTCCAAATTTACAAATTTCCCAACTTTACAATTTCGCAATTAACACATCTTTAGGTTTCTCAACTGCTAAATTTCCAAGTTCCCTCTTATATCATTATTATCTACTATATCATTATCTACTGTACTACTATTTCACTGCACTATTAATCGATCATTCTGTTCTAAAATTATACCATTATTTTACTATTTTATTGTCGTACCATTCTATTATCATACTCTATTCATACTCTATAGTATAAAATCATAACGTAACGCGTAACGCAGTCACGGTTATATTATACTCTATCATACTCTCCATAGTATAAAATCATAACGTAACGGTGTCACGCGTAACGCTGTCACGGTTAG